GTTCGTGTCAGTCTCGGGACCTGCAGAGTTATGAAATGATAAATGTGTGCTGTCTTAACCAACTAAACGTGGGGTGAACACGGGTTCTGTTCCGAGAGAAAACGAATACAGCTGAGTAGCACAGTGGTGGCAGAGCCTAGACACACCTCCCTGATGGCATGAATGTCACTCTCACTCAGAGCCCCTGGCAAAGTCTTCAGTATCTTGAAGAAGATGCCCTCGGGGATGCCAGGATGTGGCCTCAGTGAACCCTGCAGTTCTGAGCAGAAGTAAGAGAGGAAGCAGTGGTCAGCGAAGAGGCCCACTAGCGGAACACACCACCAGTGTGGCAAAAAGTGAGGGCCAGGACACCCGGGAGGAAGGTGAAGGGGTAAGCTTGACAGACCTTCAGAAATGGCTATCTACGAATTCCTGTGTCTTTTTAAATCACATTCTCTCATTCTGTCAACAGCAATCTATACTTAGAACACTTTAGCTTTTTTGTTTTTTTTTTTTTAATGTGGTATTAAGCATTGGGCTCAGGGCCTCACACGTAGGTGAACACCCCACCACATCCCCACTCTTGACTTTGTCTTCCCCCACCACCCACTCTTCTCTTTTGAAACAAGCAAGGTCTCATGCAGCCCAGGCTGCCATTAAAGTCGCTTTGCAGCTGAGGATAAAATTGAACTTCCAATCCCCCTGCCTCTACCTCCCAAGTGCTCGTAGTAAGGGTGTGCATCACCACACCTGGTTTGTGTGGTGCTGAGGGTCAAACCCAGGGCTCTGGGCCCGCGAGACAAGCACTCTAGCCACTGGGCTGCGCCCCCAGCCCTTTACCTTGTCTTTTTCTTGTGCTTCTGGTAACTAAGAATATCATCTCACATAGTTTCCTCTACCTCTCCCTTAAACTGTTATCTTTCCTTGATGTGACAGATACAGCTACACCGTATCCAACGTCTCGCATCTTTTCCTCACAGTAAAAGATAATTCTGTAAAAGAAGACTCGGGTGCAGCCCGTTCTTTTATGCATTTACATAATCTTCTGCTTGAGCAGGCACTGAAAAACAGTATGACTTTTTCAACAAATTAGTATCTTTTTCTCCTATTTGTCTTGTAGAGTGGGTTAATGCAAACTTCAACAACCAAAGACGCAACATTTTAGAGCCTTAACTGTCCATGTTATTGTTTATTAATTTTAGAGCTTCATAAAGCACATATCCTACATACTATCCTAAGACAGTGCTCGTAAGGAGTTTGTAGGATCATTCCGATGAGATCATAGGTATAAATCTTATGGCCAGCACATCCATCCAAGGAGTTTCTTGTTTTCTTCAGAAATACTTAAGGATGCATATCTTTGCATAAATAGTACCATTTCTGTTTTTTTTTTCTTTTTTAAAAAAGTGCATGTCAGCACATGCAGGCACTAGAAGAAATGTTTACAATTGGTTCATGGAGATTTCAGAAAAAAAGCCAATAGCATGGAGCATGAAACACAATGAGAGCCCTCATCATTCATAAATACAAAGGAAGAGAAAAGATAGAAAAAAATAATGCAGTGGGGTTCAGGAGGATTCCGCTCTGCTCCTTGCTGTTCTCCACACCTTCCACGCTTTATATAATGAGCATGCACTGGCCTCTTTCTTTCTCACATTTTAAAAGTAATCCATGTTCATCGTGGCCATGCATTCCTTTTATAACTGGGGGGTTAGTAAAAGCTGGAAATGAAAAGGTCATTCAGGGTCCTCTCTCAAGGAATTCGCTAGCTTGGAAAACTGTGTAGTTGAAAATATCAACAGCCTGAAGAGATGCTGAGGAAAAGCCAGCCAGAGCTGGGTCAGAGAACAGGGAGGGAATTAGTGTTTACTGAACACCAACCTCGGGCCTTATACAGGCAATTTATACACGTCTCATCTCATTTAATCCTCCCAATAATCCCAGGAGGCAGAGACTACAATTATTCCCTTTTAACAGATCTAGAAACAGAAGCTCGGCACAGGGCCAAGACTCCCCCAGGTCATGCGGTGAGCGAGGCAAGCTCTCATCTTTGGGCTCCAGCAATCAGGCCCCCATCTCTGGGTCGGGGTGCTGTCTCTCAAATTAAAACAAGGCAGCATTGCTCCAATCCCAGATCCCTTGGGACACACTGGGCACCTGTGATAAAGACTGAATCCCAGCATGCCCTTGTTCTCCATGCAGTAAGTGTCCAAGCAATGGAGAAAAAGCTGGAGTAGCCACCCAGCAAGACCTGGCAATTACCCCCATAGAAAAGCAAGAAAGGAGACCCAATGAACTGAATGCTTGCTCCACAAGCATTAGGCAAAGGGGAAAAGGCTGCTAAGCAATGCTCAGCTTTTCCCAAGGCCTCCACCGATAGCTCCTTCCTTTACTAGTAGGTACCCAGGAGCTATCCAAGGCCATGAGATAGATAACAAGATAGATTTCAGGCCATGCCACTCCCAAGGTTGAAAGTGCATGCCAGTTTTAACCAGCATGTACCAGCCCAGCAACAGCACCTGTCCAGTGTTTCTATACAGAGAAACCAGGGACCCTCATCATCTCACTCCCTCATTCCAGATGTGCAGAAATACTCCCATACCCTTCTGAGACTGCCAGCTTGCCATCCTTGGAAACAGAGACATTCTTCCAGTTACACAAATTACGTAAGTAACAACCATTAAAAGGGGGCGGGCTGAACCAGTAAAAGGCCCTGGCTAGAGCCTTTATTGACAGGACAAAGTTGTTTTGGGGGTTTGAAGGTCAAATGGCACGTAGCTGTGTTTTGTTTATTCTTCAAATTGTTCCGTTGGTTAACAAGTTAAAAACCAAATGTGACAGCCAAGTGTGGCGATGGAGTAAGGGTCACCTATAGGCCCAGCATTCAAGAGGCTGAAACAGGAGGGCAGCCTGAGCCACACGGCAAAGCCCTGCCCGCAAGAGCATCCAGTTCTACCCTGAAGTGCAGACTGGAGGCTTCTCTTTACAAAAATAGATACATGCAGAAATCTAGAACTTTTCCCGCCAACAGGGCACTAATCAAGCGAAGCTGTGTTCCAGCTGCTCCTCGACACCAAGACGGCCTCTACTGGGGGCGGTTCACCCACGTGTGTGCATCCTGCCTCAGGGTAGAGCCCTATGTAAGACCAGCACCGTCAGTCCCTGGGGTGCGTCACTCAGGGGCACAGTGAAAGAGCAAAGGATGCCTTACACTTTTGTTTACAGCAGACAGAGAGCTGTCAGAAGCAGCAGCCTTAATGGGGGTACTCCTGTTCCTATAAGGGACACAGGCAGGGGCCCTGAGGAACCATGAGGACAGCACACCATATGTAAGTGCAGAAACCAGCAGAGGCCAGAAGGGGGCGTCGGATGCCCCTGGAACTGAAGTTACCGGGCAGTTGTGAGCTACTATATGGGTGTTGGGAATCAAATCAGGGTCCTCTTCAAGAGCAGGAAGTGTTACTGACTACCGTACCACATCACCAGCCCGAGCAGTTTTCGGAATAAACAGCACCAGTCACCACCACCACCATAGATCAGCACTTGGGACTGGAGATGTAAACAATTAAAACGTCCTTCATCCTTTGAGCCTTACAGTCAAGCAGTCCCTCCCCAAGGGCTGGCCACCTTTCCCTCCTTTGCTGCACCTACAGCCAGGAGGCCCTCAGAGCCCTCCACGCTACAGTAAGATCACAGCACTAGCTCTAGCCTGCATCCCTCACCGACTCACCTCATTTTTTTAAGGTACCTGGAGACTGGCAGACAGTATGCAACCCCAAGATGACAGGAAGACCCTAGGCCCAGCAAGTCCAAGGAGAGATGGACAGCAGAGTTCTCAGTCACCCCACTCCCTCCCTACCCCACAGTCCTGCCAGTTCTGGGAAGACGTCCCTGCATGCTGCGCTTCCAGCTGTACCCTTGTGTCCTCAGCGCTTCAGGGCACTGGCGCCACCGCGGAGCCCTGCTTGTGGTAAACAAGACAAAGAGGAAGGGAAAAGAGCGTGGCTGAGCAGCAGCAAGGTCCTTGACCGGGAATCAACAGCACGAGAGAAGGAACGCTTCCAGAGCAGCCAGCCAAGGAGGAGCGGAGGGAACGCACAGGGAGGAAAAGGCAGAGGAAGCCGCTGCCACTGATGCACCCGAAGAAATCAGACAAGAGTCGCCAGCCAATGCTGAAAGCAGCGGCCCCCATTGTTTTAGGTGTATGTGTGTTTTGCCTGCACAGAGCTAACAACACTCCACGAGAAAGCCGGCAAGGGGTGATGGTCTCACTGGCTGCCCACCTGTTGCCCCTGCCTCCGAGTCTCAGCAAGACGACTGCAGGGAAATACAGCTGCCGCGGCCAGCCTGCTAAGATTTTTCCTGTCATCAGACCTAGTCCAGCTCTTCTCTTTTCCTGAGCAAACAGCGCCCACCTCCGGTCCAGGCAGCAACGCCTCCCTAGGCCCGCAACGCGGCCCGGCAAAGAAACCGGCTGCTTCACACACACACACAGTGGAGCCAGGCAGAGAGGAGGGAAGCGGAGGGCCCGCAGGGCAGAAGCTCCGAGGCCCCACAGGCTGTGCAACCGCGCCCGCCAGGCCGTGCGACTGACAGGGCTTACAGGACAAGCTCCGTGAGCCGAGCTCCTGTAGGCTGCAGGACACAGAGGCTTCTGGGGAGGTGCACGCGACACAGGCACGAAGACACACCCACCCACAAACACGCGAGAAACAAAGCTGACCCTGAGCCACGCGCCTGATCAGCAGCTCACACACGCGCCCATTTATCCGCACAGTTCTGCCAAGAGACCCGCTTGCAGTAAGTACATAGAGGCTTTTCGCTTGCCCGAACAGTATGGAGCCGCCCTATCTTGCTAGGCCTGGGAGGACACGCCACCACGCCTGGCATAGCAGCAGGCAGAGCTGGCGCCTAGGAGATTCTGCACAACCGAATGGGTAGCAACTCTGCCTGGACCCATTGCTACTCGGCCTCACTGGCTGCAGCCCAGTGACTCATGCATGGGCTCAGTGGCCACTCACCTTCCTGCACTGCCTGGAACGGGTTATTGGCCTCGATGACCTTGATGGAGTAAGTGATCTTCTCACTCTGCAGGATGTCATCATTGAGGCTCAGGTCTGATACAGCCAACTGGAACACCCTGTCGTCCTTGGCTGCGTTCTCCTCGAAGATGGCACCTGAGGGAGAAGAGGGGTCAAGACCAGGCCTGGAGAGGAACCCTTCCCACCTTACTTCCGTCCTGGGATGGGGATATTGCCTGGACCACTGGGTACCAAGTGGTGCGAGGATTGAGCTAGAATGTTTATAATGCTTTTTTGAGACAGATTCTCCTTCCATAGCCCTAACTGGACTTGAGTTCACGGTGATCCTCCTGCCTCAGCCTTCCCAAGTAGTGTGATTACAGGCATGCACCATCAGTCTCAGTTCAGGATTCTGTTTTGATTGGGTAATTTAAAGACCTCCCTATGTAACCCAAACAGGATATGCTCCCCTCCTCACACCGAACACGTGCACACAGTTAACATGAGTTACACCTGCATATCCTTCACGCTCCCATCAGGTCACATGTGCTTCATAACCAAAGCATCACATGTCCCAGTCATGCCCCACACAGAAGATGTGGCATGCTGAGGTAGCCTCCCGCTCAAATGCACCTGACATGGTCCCATAAATCCCATCTCAGGAGCCAAAGCGAATTCTCCAAGAGGAAACGTCCCCAGACCAATCCCAGTAATGAAGTGGTGCTCCTTTTTTCTTTGCATTCCCTGATGAATGCAGAAGTGAGACTGTGGTCCACAGTTTGCTCTCCTGCACCAAGGGTTTTTCCTTTTTCCTTTAGGCATACACAAGGAATTGATCACCAGTATCTTGAATGGTCGAGATGTTGCATGTATTGCTGCTCTGGTCTCTCACTTCCTCTTCCTGTATGTCTGGAGGGGTGGGGCTGTATCCTATACCCCTAAACCTTCTGATCTAGCAGTGTTGAGAGTCCCAGAAGAAACCACTCTTAAACAGTCGGTCATTCTACAAGCAAGGACGGCTCCTCCAGAGCTCCGGCTGACCTGACGCTTTCACTGATCCTGCTCTTACAGTGGAGATCAGTTGGATCTGATCTGGGATCCCCACCCCAGCCCTTTTGCCAAGTGCCAAGGGTCGCCGAGGTCCTATGGCTTGGCTAATTGCTCTGGAGCTGAGAGCTGGGTGGAAGGGCTCAGCTCCTGGATTCCACACTACACCGGAGCCGCAATGCTGACCGCCAGACCCACGCCGACTCCTGGGCGGGAAGCAGGTTTGGATCCTGGCCCGGCCCCGGAGGGAAGCGCTGCAGCCCTTGGAGTAGGGACTTGGTCCCTCATCACCTCTTTCTGCCCCGCGGGTAGCATCAGCCACGTTTTCTCACACCTCCCAACCCCCAGTTTGTCCCTGTTCGCTGGTCTTTCCCAACTTCCGGAAAGGCGACTGCGGAGGGGCTCCCCCAAAGCGACCGCTGTCAGTCCCCCAACCATGCCCAACTTCTCTCGAGACCCCAGTCATTCTGCTTCTAACTGCCACCACTACCCCTCCTCTGATCGCTCCTTCCTTTGCTTTTCCTCTCCCTCCTCTCCATCTACCTCTTTTTGCTCAGCGCCCCCAACCCCACGGCCCACGCTCCTTCCCTCCACCCCACCACCCAGACTGTATGCTGGCCCCAAGACTTAGACCAGGCAGAAACTCTGAAACTGTCCAGGATTGAGCTGCAGTTGTCACAATCAGAAACACACACACACACACACACCGAGAGCTACAACAGACACACACCGGGGAAACAGGCAAGCACTGTGTCCACTCTAACAGGCTGGCAGAACGCGGTAGTCGCACTAACACACTCTCGGATGGCCCCCCACACACCCCAACGCCCTCTCACAGTGACACCAACACCGTGCCAGGTGCACACACACTGGCACGTTGACAGCACCCATCCACAGTCACACATGGTTCCGCTTTGGCCTCTTTGATCTTGCCCTGCCAACTTAGCTAGCCCCCAGCTCTGTTCGCCCCTGGTCCCAATGCTCAGGCTGTGCCTCAGGGCCCAGCTTGCCGACGGTCCCGCTAGGGGCACGCATCTCGACAAGCGTCTATCCCCGGGTTCCCCGCTGCCGCGGCCCTAAGTGTCGGCAGAGGCCGCGGGGCCCCGCGCACTGGCAGGAGCCCCAGGGAGCAGCGAGGTGCCCGCAGGAGCGCCGAGCGTCAGGAGCACAGCTCCTCCGCGGGGCGGCGCGGGCCTTCAGGGGACCACCGCCTGCCGAGCCCTTCGGCCCGGGGAACCGACAAGTTTGGACGCCGCGCATCAACGTCTCTACTGGGGGGTCCCCGCCCAGCCTCGGCCCGTCCGTCCTCCGAGCTCACCGATGTGGATGATGGAGTCGGCCCGCACCGTAACGCACTGGCATATCCAGGGAAGAAGCCACAGCGTCAGCGCTTCCATGTCCCCCGGGCGCGCGGCTCATCCGCCCGGGCCCGGGGCGAGGCCGAGGGCAGCGCGGAGCGGGGAGGCGCGGGTCCCGGTGCAGTCCCGGGCCGCTCCCCGGGAGAGCCGAGCCCGCCCGTGCGTCTTCCCCCGCGCTCCCGCCCCTGCGCCCTGCGCCCGCCCCAGCCCAGCCCAGCCCAGTGCTCTCGGGCTCCCGCGCCGGCTCCGGTTGCGGTTGCGGCGGCGCTCGCAGCCCGAGCCCAGGCCGGCGCGGCGGGGGCGGCCCGCGGCTGTGGCGGCGACGCTTCCAGCGGCTCGAGCGGCTCTGGGGGAGGCAGAGGCAGAGGCGGCGGCGGCGGCCCGGCCCGAGCGGCGGCTCCGGGCTGGCTGTGTGTCTGAGCCCAGGCAAGGAGCGAACTGCGGAGGACGCCCCCTCCCCTCCCCCTCCCCCTCGGCGGCGCTCCCCCTCCCCTCCCGCCCGCCTCTCTCCCCTCCGCCCTCCTCTCCACCACGTGACTGCGGAGCCTTAGCCTCGCCGCGCGCGGCTTGCTCGCTCGTTGCTTGGAGGGGGCGCCCGGTGCTCCGTGCTCTCCGCCGGGGGATGCTCCGAGGCCGGTACCGCGGTGGGAACCTGGCCCGTCTGCGGCGAGAAGAGGCTCGGCCGTGCGGGCCTGGTCTCAGGGTTCGCGGGAGAAACCGAGGAGGCACGGCCACTGATTGCCCTCGGGGAGGTGGGGGTCTCAGAGCTCTCTGGCGATGGGGGACTTCAGCCGAGTCTGCAGTGGCCGGAACGGACAGGCGCTCTCGGAACCGGACCCTCGACTTTGGCAGCCTGCAGATAGACCACAAGGCCCGGGGCACTGAGCTAGGCACCAGGATGCTAGTGGGCTGGTGGCGGGCTCGAACCCTAGCTATCCGTGCAGACTTCGGCGGACATCCATCCCCCGCCCCCAGGGCGGTGCACTGCGCCGGGAGTCGGGTAGGAGGCTCGGACTCTGAAGCCCAATTCATGGCCGGAAACCGGCGCAGCCGTGACCGCGGCGCCTGGACGTGAGGAGCCTTCCAAGCGGACAACGCACTCAGACAGCGACCCTGCACGAAGCCTTCTAGGGCGAGCCCGGGCGGAGAGCCCGCTGCCAGCCGCGGAAGCAAAGCCGGACTCCCGCCGCCTCTGGGTGCCCTGCCTCTAGGCGAACCTCCATATAAAGGGTGAAACTGCTGAGAAACCGAGCCAGGGAGGGGGATCGAGCTAGCCGGGCTCACAACCCTGTCCCCAGGTTCTAGTTGGACTGAGCTCCACTGAACACCCAAGATTTCAGGGAGAAAGTTGAGCCCTTCGGAATTCTGAGTCCCTCGGAAACTGGGTGCAGCTGAGCCTGGCAGAACTGGGCGCCAACATAAGCGCTGGGTTCGAGGGACCAAGAGAGACTCGGCTGCAGCCTTGTCTAGAGCTCCCAGCACCATGGGAAAGATAGACACCCACATAGGCCATAAAAAGATTTGGAGAGGACTGTAGAGGAGCTTAAGGCCTGGGCCCTGACCTAGCTTGAAAGTAAAGGTAGCTGTGGCTTCCGGAAGGAGATGACTGTTCGGAAAGGCTACCAAGGGAGGAGAGGCTTGCAGGCGTTCCATGCTGCTAGTGAGCCAAAACAGGAAGAGAAGAAAGAATTGTGTGGGGAGTGTACATTTGTGTGAGTTTCGAGCTGCCAGCCACTGAGTTGTCGCCGACAAATTCTGCTTTAAAGGGGTTGGGCGTGGATGCTGTTCAGAAGGGCCAGGAGGGTGCTGGACGCTGTTAGGCAATACCTCAGCAGAACAGAGGGGAAATGGGGCTGCAGGAACAGCAAGGAACACTGTTCTGTGATGAGGGGGGGCCTGGTGGGCAAGAAGAGAGAAATGACCACCACAGTTGCAGGGTGGGAGTGTGGGATGCAGGGCCCGATGTGGTTCCACACAACTGAGTTCTACAGGCCACAAGCCTTAGGACCCTGAGGTGAGAGGGGGGGTGCCCATCCCGCTGGTCCAAAATCCCCCTGTCTCCAGTTTCCAGCCCTGCGAAGTACCAGCATTCTCTGGCTGAAAAGCTGGAGGAAAGTGGGAATTAAAGTCTCATCGGCTTCAGTATTTAGCAGTTTAGTTCCTGTGGTAAGTGTGGTATAGTCACCACTTAGAGTCTTCAAAGGTCAAAAGCCACCAGGTCAGGAACAGCCCCGATCCTCTCCGTGTTCCAGTCATGGCAGTGTGCAAGCTGGGTGAGCATGGGGTACACCCACTCGGGTGTTAGCTCGGTCTTCTTGAGTTATTCCTCACTACACAAAGGTGTATTCATGGAAATCAAGAGTGAGTGGATGAGTCCTTCCTTGTAGCTCAGGACTTGCCTTCGGGAACGTGTTCTTCAGTGATGCTGATTCTAACTACATTTATACAGCACGTGTCCCGTGAAGACCTGTGCTCAGCCCTCCTTTCCTTCCTAGGAGGCAGAATTTTACACACATGGAGACTGAAGAAGATGGTAGCCATCAGGTCTGCCCACTAGCATACTGCTGGGAGCCCCGCAGTTGGCCACCAGAGCTGCGGGGAAAATGAGCAGGCAGAGAGAGAGGCCACAGGTGTCTACTTGGAAGCCACAACCATTGTGATGGTCACTACAGAAACATAAATTTCTCCTTTGTCCTTTGCCACTCTCATTCCAGCCCATAGCTGGACTAAGATAAGGAAACCTGAAATCCTGGCCTTCCCTGTGGCCTGTCACCCTGGCATAGGCCTGAGGAGCCGCCTGCCCAAGTAGAGCCACCGCTGACCAGACCCAGCCCAGGTGGCTTCCTAACCATGCTCTCTCCCAGGGAGCTGCCCGGACTACCGGTGATCCTGCATCTCTCTCCTAGCACAGCACAGCTGGCTGGAGCTTGCTGGAGCATGCCAGCCAGACTTGCTGGAAGGGTGCAGCTGGCAGAGACCCCTGCCAGCCCAAGGGACCTACCAGTTTAGATATGGCCACCCAGCTCCCTTGTGTTTACAGAAAAGAGGAAGAGACCCAAGTCAAGCCATGTCGGGGTCAGCCGGCCTCTAGGAAAGAGTGCTACCCCACAGGCTCCAAGGAACCTGCTCACCAGTAGGACCTGAGCCCAGGAGATAAGTCCTCCATACCCAGTTTTCTACTGTTGCTTTGTTTTCGTTTATGTTTGTTTATTGAGGCAAGGTTTCACCATTGCAGCTTACACCACCCTCGAATTTGAGATCCTCCTGCTTCAGCCCCCCAAGATGGGATTCTAGGTGTATGCAGGTATACCCCAGACTTTTTTTTTTTTGAGACACTTATTGCTTATTTCCTCCATTGCCTCTGCAGCCGCCTGGCACAGCTGTTGAATGACAATGATCCAACTCTGCTTTGTCTCCTTTACCCTTCTTGCCAACCTCTTTCATCTCATTTTTAGTGCTTATGTTTATTGGATCTTCTTTTATAAGACTGTAATTTTTTGTTTGTTTTCCCTCTCAGTCGTTCTCTTGAGTTTTTGCTTTCAAATTTTCCAGGCCAGCAATCTCTGGTCTTGCTTACTCCATGGTTCGAAGCTTCATTGATTTAGTCTTTGCCTTTATGGAGGAGGAGAATTTGGGTGAAGGAAGTGCAGCTGAGGTTAACCTCCCCATAGCAGGATTCTGAGCCACCAGGGCAGGACTCCGCTGGGCTGGCTTCTGCCTGCACCTCTGACGCCCTTTTGAAGGCATTGTCAATAATACAGGCTTCGCCGCAGCTGGCAGACCAGGTGGGTAAGGGCTTCATCTTGTTGGAGTCACGTGCCATGGGCCAATGAGGAGAAAGAAGATCATACTATGTGTGAGCAAACCCAGATGGGAGCACCTCTTCTTTGTAAGGAAAATACCTCCCTCTGGCCCATCACACAGTCACAAACCTGGAGCACAGGACAAGAGACTGCCATTAGAACCAACCAGTCCAAAAGGTTACCTGGGGGTGGGAGGGAAAAGCAGGCTAGAACCCCAGATCACCAACCAGAAAGGGTGCACTGGACAGAGGGCAGTAGGGCTACACCACCACTCGGGCCATCTAGGGTTCCCACAAAAACACTCTGGGACCTCCTCGTCCTCTGGACCCCAGGGAGATCCTTCCCTTCCTTGAGGCCTTCCAAAAGTCTGATGAAGAACAGTGGAGTTTGCACAGTGCTATGACGAGTTGGCAGGAACATTCACAAGGCAGTGAGGCTTGGGCCCCCCAGACACGCCCTTCCGAGCTGTCATCTCAGCCTGAGCCCTCTGGAACAACAGCGTTTGCTTCCTTCCAAATCGGAGGCTCTGCAGTCTATAGACTTACGTCATCTCCAGAGCAGGCTCAGGCTCCTGGGGTCTCCTGCTGCCATTCAGACCTTGAGGTCACAGTCCCCGAGGCCGTCTAAGCCTAAACACTGGCGTATCCCCTCCTGATTACTTTGCTGCCTCTCCAGCTTCCCAGTAACAATGCCTAGCACAGCTTCCCCGCTCTTCCACCAGCTCTGAATCCGCAACTCTGCCCTTTTGTAAACTTTGGGGCCACCTCCAACCCAGGTGGTTGGCAGAACTACCTGGCAGGAACCTGAACCCTAGCCTGTCTGTCTACTTCAGATCCCAAGTCAGACCCCAAACCCACATCAGACATGGCCAGGCCAACCCAAAACAGAGAATGCCCCAGAACTCAGCCCTTCCCACTGTTGCCCAGGCCTCCTCTTACAACTCTAAGGATCTGTAGACTCTAACCAGACCATGACTCAAGTCCAGAATGGCAATGTGTGTTCTAGACGGGAAGGGAAGAGGGGTTGGGAAAAGAAGAGCAAGGGATGGAGTCCAAATTGGAGGGCACAAGGATGGAAGTTGCCAGAATGGTGATAGTGGGAGACAGAGAAGCCAGATACACTCCCGCCTGATACACTTCTACAGAGCAGACACCCTGGGTGGCCTGATGGCTGCAAAGACCCGTAGCTTGGTATCTTCAGTGGGCATCTTAGGAAAGGCAAGGGCCACTGATTGCCAAAAGAGTCCAAACAGGGTCCAGAGAGATTGCTCAGTTCATCCCGAAGCCCCCAAGGTCACGTTCAGCTGCTTACAACTAGCTAAACTGAACTCTAAGCTATCTAGTGCCCTCTTCTGACCTCCGTGTGCGTCTGCATACATGTCGTACATACACGGTAAGTAAAAAATACGAACTTTTTTTCAAAGAGTCCTGGGGCAGAGGGAGGGGAGGGAGGGGAGGTGGTCTTTATCACCCTAGATACCAGGAATCTCATGATAATCCTAACTCTGTACAGGATGCTGTCTGTCAATCATATGCCCTCTGCTGTCCCCAGAGATGGGCTGCCTCCGTCCACACATGAAATAGGACCTTGGAGATCAGATGACCTTAGTCCGGTCACAGTGCAAATCCCA